TTGCTCAAGGTATTTAAAAGAATCTAACTAGTACATCATGTAAAGGAGTTTGGACTTTAATATGAAAACAATAGAAAATCATAAAAGGGCTTCATATTTTCATTTTAGAAAGAGGACTCTGGGACCGTTGTGGAAAGTACATTGAAAATGGACTAGAGTAGAGGTAGGGATTATATTATGGAAACTGTTGTTTTTGAACCAGAGTAATGATGATGGGTTGAACCAAGCTAGTAAGAATGGAGAAAAGTGGATGAATGAATAGAATTTGATTCCCCTTAGATGTACTGGATGAGGGAGTAGGAAGTGTCAAGTTTGATTCTTTGTTTTCCAGTTTGAGCAACCAGATGGATGGTGGTGCTTTTCATGGAGAAAGGTAATGTATACACAGGACCAACTCCTTCCTGGGGAGGAGTGTTAGGTGCCAATGAGGCTTCCAGGTAAAGATGTCCAGTAGGCAGTAGAATAGTCATGTCTGGACCTCACGCAAAAGCTCTGGAGCTGTAAGATTGTGTGTATAAGGGCTTGATTTCATGATTTTCAGAGATATCTGGCAATGGTTTATTTTATTCCCATAGCCCTAACTTCAGGAACTTACTTGGATTAAGCTGTGTTAGCCTACGGAAGCTGAGAATAAAGGATCTGTTCATGTCTGAATATCCCCTGTACTGCACCTCAGCTATCACGTTATGCATTGTTTAACATGCGATTGATGAGCTACCTGGTCTAGGTGAGGTGATGTCTATAGAAGGCTATGTTTAGCACCAGTCTAGCTTTGTGTACCTAAGGTTAGGACTGGAAGGGGAAGTGAAGTTTCCACAAGGTCTGATGTTTTGTATTCCAGAAGATCTGAGTATTTGGGAGGTTTAGAAGCTTGCACTTTCATTTCTTAGCTGATATTGTATCTACATTCCTTTCTGTATTGCTTAGATAAGTGAATCCAAGTGGTGTCTCTGTTGTGGTATTTCTGGTAAGCTGCACATTTCTATTGGTATTTATCAATATAGGGTGATATCAATAGATTGGTGTTAATCGAGCCATTGGTGTGCATAACATCACTCCAGGAGAATAAATAAGAAGAAAAGAAAGCAGAGGATAGAATTCTAGAAAATACTAATATCTAAGGAGTAGGGGAACACAGAAAAGTCCAAGAAGAAAAAAAAAATGAATGATAGTGAAAACCGAGGGACTGAACAACTAGAATGGTACATTGAGTAATATTTATATTTCATCATTAAACTGAACAGATATTTCAGAATGATATTAGACAAGTTATGTTGTTACACATGAATACATGCTCATTGTTAGATATGTTTTCTTAAAGGTTCATAACAGAGGCTCAGAAAAAGACATGGGTTTCCTAATTTTCAAATAGAAGGTTAAAACTTGCTGGTAATTAAGTTGGTTTAGAAGTTAATAAAAAGACAGTGTGAGTGATGATTGCAAAGAGTTACCTTTACTACCTATTTAAAACATTTACTTAATAGTGAATGTGTGCCAGGCATTGTACTTTATCTGCAACAGCTCATTTAGATATTAGAACTACCCCAAGAGGAAAGCACCCATATTTTCTTTTTTTAAAGATGTGGAAACTGAAGATCAGAGAGGTTAAGTAATTTGTTAGAGTCACCTAAGTACTAATAGGGCAAAGACTCAAACTGAGGGCTTTTTTAGTTCAAAGACTGAGGCTTAAGTACTACTTGACAATGCTGTGAAAGCATTACTTAAGGTAATAAGAGATTAAATTTATCAGCATTTATTAATGTAATTTTCAATGAAGGGAAAATTTGTAGCCACAGATGACCATTTTACCAACATTTATAGGTGTGCTACAATTTTGAAAGCACTTCTTGAGGTATTTGAGAGCAATAATATGTATATTTGATAATCTGGGGTTGTTGGGGTTTTTTTTTGCTACTAAAAGAAAAATGATTCTATTTTGGAATGCTAACTCCTGAGTTTAACTCATTTCTTAACCTACATAACCAAAAATTATTTTTACCTCTGCTAACTTGCTTGATTTTGGCATAAAGCCATGCATTGTTTCTTGGACAGTACAATCTCTCTTTTCAAATTGTTATAGGTATTGTTTTTAGTTAATGAATTCCGATTGTATTCCCTCAACTATATATAAAAGAGATGTAAAAGACTCTAAGGAAGATGATTTTGAGTCAATCATGCCAAAGTTACTAATAATAAAAAAATTAAATTTCAAAAGAATAATTGGCCACATAGTGAAAGACAGTGGGCAGGAGCTTGATCCTAGATTACTGGGCCAATTATTACATCATTTTTAAAAGCTCCCTGGGACATCTCAAGAAAAATGTCTGCCACATATTCCACCTAAGCCTTTTTTTTCCCCCCCTAAATTCACAGCTTTTAATACAAAAAGCCTACACCATAGGAGCTGTCAAGTTTCCCATTAGTTGTGTAGTAGACACAAATGATCCAAATTACTGTTCTTGGAGTGCCCTACTATTACCTCATCTGTCACCTTCATCCAGCCTTGCTTTGCTTCTTCTCAGAAGGAAAAAAAATTATTTCGTTTACAAAGTACTGTGGTGTAAGTCCTTCTTATTTTACAGCCAAACATTGCCACCAACAGACAATCTCATAGTTCATTCTTCCATCCTGAAAAGGTGTCATCAGCTCAGTTGTCTGAAGGTGTTCATTTTTAAATCTCCCACCTGTACCCTGGTTCACCTTTCTTTGCTTCCTCATGCAAAATGTCTTGGGCAAAAACATACTGAGCTAGATCTTCAGAGCACAGATGATTTTCTGTTTACCTTTGTCTCACACATATATGGCACTTCAGACATAATGAAGGCTTTTATATAGGAGCCTAATGTAAGCATTAGAACTCTGCTTTTAGTCATATGCAAAAAAAATAGCCTGCTATCTGTCTCCATACACCAGAATTAACTCAAAATGGATCAAAGACCTAAACATAAGACCTGAAACAATAAATTGCATAGAAGAAAGCATAGGTACTGAACTTAGGGATGTTGATCTTGGAGAGGATTTTAAGAATTTGACTTCAAAGACAAGGGAAGTAAAAACAAAAATAAATGAATGAGATTATAGCAAACTAAAAAGCTTCTGCACAGCAAAAGAAACAATCAACAAAACAAAGAGGCAACAACCAAATGGAAGAAGATATCTGCAAACAGCACCTCCGATAAGGGGCTAATATCCAAAATATATAAAGAACTCAACAAAATATATAAAGAACTCTCTCTCCTCTCTCTCTCTCTCTCTCTCTCTCTCTCTCTCTCTCTCTCTATATATATATATATATATATATATATATATATATGCATGCAGAGGGCCTTAACAGACACTTCTCCCAAGGAGACAAATAAATGGCCAAAAGATATATGAAAAAATGCTCAGTTTCACTAGCTATAAGGGAAATACAAATCAAAACCACAATGAGATACCACCACACACCTGTTAGAATGGCTATTATCAACAAAACAATAAGTGTTGGAGAGGCTGTGGAGAAAAAGGAACCTCATACACTGCTGCTGGGAATTTAAATTGGTACAGCCACTATGGAAAACAGTATGGAGGTTCCTCAAAAAATTAAGACTAGAATAACCATACGACCCAGCAATCCCTGTCCTGGGTATCTACCCAAAAAATCTGAAAACATTTATCCATAAAGATATATGTACTCCTATGTTCATTGTAGCATTATTCACAGTGGCCCAGACATGGAAACAACCAAAGTGTCCTTCAATAGATGATTGGATAAAGATATGCTACATATATACAACGTAATATTACTCAGCCATAAGAAAAGATGAAATATTGTCATTTGCGACATCATGTATGGATCTTGAAATTATGCCAAGCGAAATAAGTCAGACAGAAAAAGTCAAGAACCATATGATTTCATTCATATGTGGGATATAAAACTAAAAGCAACAAACAAGACAAACAAGCAAAAACTCATAGACAGACAAAAGTATGGTGGGTACCAAAGAATAAGTGGGGGAGGCAGGACGGTAAAAGAGGGCAAAGGGGAGCAAATATATGGTGATGAAAGGGAACGGATTCTGGGTTCCACAATGAAATATATAGGTTACTATGTATTACAGAATTATACACTTGAAACATATAATGTTATTATCCACTATCACCCCAATAAATTTAATTTTAAAAGTGAGAAAAAATTAAAAACACAGAAAGGCAGAAATTATGGGGGAAAACCCTCTTCTTTCAGTAAGGTATTAATTCAACAAATATTTATTGGTCATCTACTATCGCCAAGCACAGTTCTAGGCACTCGAGATACAGCAGGGAAGAAAACAGGGAAAAAAATCCCACAGCTTCTGAAACTTTCATTTTAGCGGAAAAGCAGACAGGCGTTGAAGGGGATTGGTGAACTGTGGAATACTGGCTTCTACTTTGTGTGAAATAGAAAGCCAGTGGAAAGTCTGGAACAGAGGGCAGTTTTATTTCTCATTTTATAGGTTAGAAAAATAAGCGACTACTCCGCAGTTAAGTGCACCAGTACGCTTTGTACAACTCTGTGGAGAAATTGCCATTTAGGTGCTCAAAAGGGGGTAAAAAATTAACAGGAGGTAGGCGTTGATTTGGGGGTACTAGCCCAGGGATTCCAGGGGGCAGAAATGAAGAGGGATATCGCAAATGAAGATTAATCCAAAAGGAAACAAACTGTTTACACCGAAAAAAAATTTAACACAAACATACCCCAAGAGATACGCCAAGGAGTACTTGGGGCTCCGTTCAGACATTTGTCACCGAAAAGGAAGCCAATGTGGACGAGGCAAACGGTGCGCTAAGCCTACTCTGACGCCTGGAGTGGTGTCCAGGTAAGCGTCCTCGACCGTAACCGAGCCAGCTCCACTCGTGACCACGCCCCTGACCACGCCCCTCCGGCGGCTCACCCGTCCGGGTTGGCCGCGGCGGGGGCGGTGGCCTTGGTGCCCGGAAGTGCAGCTGACGTGTCCCGGCGGCGCTCGGAATTGTGGGCGACTCGGCTAATGGCGTCGGCGAATCTTGGGTGTTTGGGCAGCCAGCGCTGAAGCTTCTAGCCAGGTTGGCTGGTTGCGACCCGTGTGGCTGGGCCCCGCGGCAGCGGGAGGGACCTGCCCGCGTTGTGGGCTCCTCGGCCGGAGCCGGCGGGTCCTAGCGGGGCGGACCGACTGCGGGGGGCGCCTCGGAGAGGAGCCGGGGGAGTTGCGAGAGGCTGCGGGGGGCGCTCGGGCACGCTCCGAGTTAGCAGCTCAGGCCTGGCTGAGTCCCCGCGGAGCCCAACAGGAGGGCTCCGGAAGGGCCAGAAGCTCCAAGGAGGGTGCTACTGTCGCCCCAAGGAGCTGACAGTGCCGGAGTTCGTTTGCGCCGCTCAGAAATTGGCTTTGAAGCTTGGTGGATCATGTCTGGCACCAACAGCCCCGAGGCTGTGAAGAAGCTGCTGGAGAATATGCAGAGCGACCTACGGGCCTTGTCCCTGGAATGCAAGAAGAAATTTCCACCTGTCAAGGAGGTAGGCTTTGGGTGACGTTGGGACAAGGCACGGTGAGCGTGTCTGGTCCTGTTAGACACAGTCCTTCACAGTCGCCCGCCAGCCCTAATTTTCATTTGGCCCTCTTCACCTTTCCAAATTTGCGAGTGGGTGGGTTGTTCCACATAGCACATTTTATAGTTTCCTTTGGAGAGGTTTGAGGGGCATTGATTTCTTCTACTCTCCTGTTCTCCGGAGTTAGGAATGAAGTTCGCGGTGTGAGCCGATTCAGCCTTCTCTGGCCTTTTCAAACTCGAAACTAGCCAAGCCAGAATTGGAAAACTTATTTTTGTTGCTTCTAAAAAGCTAATATCCATCGTTGTGGTGAAATCTATGCACCTCGCGCTTGTAGTATACATCACTCAGTTGGAAGTAGCTTTCCTTCTGGTCATGTTATGCTGCGTAACTCTATCAATCCCATGAAGTATTAATTATCAAGAGACACCTAACTTATGACTAATATTGAAGACTCACAGTAACCATGTTAAACCTTGATATGAGCAATACTGTAGTGGGAGGTTTGTGCTAGCAATACGTATATCTTAACCTCTGTGAGCTTCAGTTTTCTTTCAGATGTAAAATAGGGCTAAAGGGTGGATTTATTAGATTATGATGGGAATGTCGTCAGAGCAAAAAGGGTATTATTAAAGAGATTCAAGTTAATAATATAAACAAATTCTCCAAACGTTTCCCGAATTGAAGTTTT